CCTGGCAGGACAGCCTCTCCCTGAGTCAGTATTGGGACTTTGATCTTGGGGGCTAGTGGTGACTCAGGGTCGGCTCTTTGAGCTCCACCTCTTGCCCCAGGTTCAGCGCTGTGTGGAGATCTTGAGTCGGGCCAAAAGGCCCCTTGTGGTGCTGGGGAGCCAGGCCCTACTGCCCCCGACACCTGCCAGCAAGCTTCGGTGAGAAGCCTCAGCCCTGCCTTTACCATCACATTCCTGGCCCCTGGTCCCCTGGTGCCTTGTGGGGACTGGCAGGCCTGTGGCCACACTCACTCCTGTTTACCTGGACCTGCAGGGCTGCCGTGGAGACTCTGGGCGTCCCCTGCTTCCTGGGCGGGATGGCACGGGGGCTGCTGGGCCGGAACCACCCCCTGCACATCCGGCAGAACCGCAGTGCCGCCCTGAAGAAGGCAGACGTCATCCTCCTGGCAGGTGGGCTTCAGCCTACACCCCCCGTTTTCCCTTTCCCTCATTCCAGGATCCCCTTACCCTGCGATCCTGCCCCCCGGCCCCCCTAATCTGGCACTCACTGGCCCTACCGCTTCCCCTTTCAGGGTTTTTGAATTTGAATTTCACCTGAATTCTTGCCATGTTGTAGTTGTATCTGTGACCCAGCTTTGCGCAAAGGAGGACGCGCAGATAGTAGGCTCTATGGGACTTTCTGCACAGCATTTGCTTTTGTACACGTCAGACAGCATTTACACTTTATACAGCGTGTACACATATGGCATATACATTTCCACATAAAGTGCTTTGAAGTCTGCCGGACACATAATACTTGTATCAGTTAGCGATTGCTGTGTAATACCATTCCAAAATTCAGTGGCTTAAAATGCAATTATTATTTCTCAAGACCCACCAACAGGTAAGGTGGTCGTTTTTCTGGTTTCGGCAGGGCTCATTCAGGAGTCTGCGGTTGGGGAGGCAGGAGGGCAGCTGTGCCGATCTAGGGCAGGCTGGCTCTGATACTGGGGGATTGGCTGGGGCTGTAGCTGGGTTGGCGTGGCCTCAGCTAGGATTCTGAGTTCTCTCTCTTCTCTGCTTCCTCCTCCATGTTCCTCATCGTCCAGCAGGCCGGCTTGGGCTGGTTCACTTGTCGGAGGATGAGAAACATGTAGGGCGGGGGAGCAGGGTTATTTAAAGGGGAGTGTGGACGCTGCAAGGCTCATGGAAGCCTGGTCTTAGGAACGCATGCCAGCACTCCTGACACATCCTGCTGGCCAGAGCACACCCCGAGGCCAGCCCAGGGCTAAGGGCTGGGGAGCTGGGTCCATGGAGAAGTGAAGAACGGGTACCCTTTTATATTCAGTCTGCTACGGTGGATTAAGTTAGGTAGTGGGCCTCCCCCAGGCACTGGCCCTCCGTCCACGGTTCCCCTGTCTCCCACCCTAGGAGTTGTGTGTGACTTCCGTCTGTCCTATGGCCGTGTCCTCAGCCGAAGCAGCAAGATCATCATTGTCAACCGTAACCGGAAAGAGATGTTGATCAACTCAGACATGTTCTGGAAGCCCCAGGAAGCTGTGCAGGGTGAGCTCCTAACGCCCCACACACGTGCTCCTGGGCCCTCTCCTGGCCTCTGCTGTGGCTGGCTCGAGCTGGGTTCTGGGTTCTGGACCTTGTCAGAGGGAGCACCCAGTCAGCCAGAGCCATACATTTGGCTTTCGGATTGATGAGTGCTTCTGGGTGTGCACCAGAGAGGAGGCCTGGGAATGTGCATGTGGTTGTGTCCCCTGCTGCAAATCCTCTCCCGCTGCTGTTAGGACAGAGAGCTCACTCCTTGGCCCCTGAGGTCTGTCAACCTGTTATAACCTCAACCCCTGATCAGTCCTCTCCCCTGGCTTTTGTGTCCTGCTTTGCTCGTCGTCGAAGGACATTGACTTCCCTGCAGTGTTGGTGACGGAACTCTGCCAAGCAGAGGAGGGGCAGCTCATTCATGTCTGGGAAGGCCCACTGTAGCAGTTGGGTGGGCAGCAAGTTGGAGGCCAGACGGTGTCCAAGGGGCCTGTTAAACTGGGTCAGGACAGAAATAACAAAGCCTGGATCGAGGATGGACAGGGAAAGAGAAACTCAACTTCTCTGCGCCTCAAGGTGATTATTTCTGAATGCAGATGACGAAAAGCACACCACCACCAGTGTATCTGCTCACAAGCACTGTGTGTGCTGGGGTTGTAGAGAGGTACCTGGCAGATGGGGGTGTTTTCAGTGAGATCTCTCAGAGGAAGAACTGAAAGGACCGAATGATCTGGGTTGTGATGGGGAGGCTGGCGATGAGGTTGGCTTGGGTTTCTAATCCACTTTGTCCTCCCTAACTCCTGTTTCTCCAGCCTTGCCCTCCCTCTCATCCTGGCTGCCCTAACCTGGTTCCCAGTATGTTTTCCCCCGGTTTGCTCAAGGAGTGCCCTGGCCTGCTCCTTGCCTCCTGTTCCAATGCTACTGCTGGCTTCCTGTTGGCTTGGGCCTCCTGTGCTGGAAGGGCAGGAGGAGGCCACCTCTCTGCAGCTGTGTCCTCTTCCTTCCCCAGGAGACGTGGGCTCCTTTGTGTTGAAGCTGGTGGAGGGCCTCCAGGGCCAGACCTGGGCCTCAGACTGGGCAGAGGAGCTGCGGCAAGCCGACCAGCAGAAGGAGAAGTCCTTCCGGTGGGGGCAGGTGTACATGGAGGGTGGTGGGTTCCCAGCAAGGTGTGCTCCCGGTCCTGCTGACCTGCATGGTCCATTGCAGGGAGAAGGCAACGATGCCTGTATCCCAACACCTGAACCCGGTGCGGGTGCTGCAGCTGGTGGAAGAAACTTTGCCTGACAATTCGATTCTGGTGGTAGATGGCGGGGACTTTGTGGGCACCGCTGCCCACCTGGTGCAGCCCCGTGGCCCCCTATGCTGGCTCGATCCTGGTAAGGAAGGGCCTACGCCTGGGGCAGCTTGCACCATTCAGTCCCCTTCACACCCACATGCTCTTGGTTCTCCTAGGGGCCTTCGGGACTCTGGGGGTTGGTGCAGGATTTGCACTTGGGGCCAAACTGTGCCGGCCAGATGCCGAGGTGAGTCAGAGCCTGGAGGCAGGAGGCTTGCTGTTGTTTTGGACCGTGAACAACCCTAAACTATGTCCTGTCCCACCTCAGGTCTGGTGCCTCTTTGGGGATGGAGCTTTTGGGTACAGCCTCATCGAATTTGACACCTTTGTCAGACACAAGGTAACCGGCTGTCCCTGGTGAAGCCTGAGGTTCTGGGAGATGTCCTCAGGGCGGGCTGGGCTGGGGAGGGGGTTGCTTCTGGCTGGCCAAGCCTGGGCTGAATATTGTGGCCTGGCCTCATTCTCTCTCTGCAGATCCCAGTGATGGCCTTGATAGGGAATGATGCTGGCTGGACCCAGATTTCTCGGGAGCAGGTGCCCTTTTTGGGCAGCAATGTGGCCTGTGGCCTGGCCTACACTGGTGAGGGGCCTGTCCTGGGGGAGGCTGTTCCTGGCTCGGCTGGGTGTGTCCTCTCTTGGGCTGCCTGCATGGGCTGATCCCTGCCACCATCTGACTTGATCTCCCTTTTTAGATTATCACAAAGCAGCCGTGGGTCTGGGGGCCCAGGGCTTGCTGCTCTCACGGGAGAATGAGGATCAGGTGGTGAAGGTGCTTCGTGATGCCCAGCAGCAGTGCCGAGATGGCCACCCAGTTGTCGTCAATATCCTCATTGGGAGGACAGACTTCCGCGATGGCTCCATTGCTGTGTAGAGCCTCGTGGGTGCCTTCCCACACCTGGACTGCTTGGCCGGTCTGGAGTCTCTGCCTTGCCTACTCTGGGCTGTCCCATGGGGGCTCAGTGACCCCATAGTCCTTCCTGAGGTCAGGGAGGGGCTGGAAGGGTCAGGGTTCAGAGAGGCCCCCTGGAAGTACAGAGAGCTCTGGGGCCTTTCTCTTTGTGGTCCCAATTATGCCCTTTCTCTCTCTCTCTCTCTCTCTCTTTTTTTTTCTTACACACTGAATAAACCACCTCTGGTCCACGTGGGCCCAAATATTCATCCCAGAACCTGTGCATATGGATTTATTGTTCACAAAGTTGGAAGTGAGGGGAAGAAGGGTAGGCAGAAGGGGACCCTACTCTCCCACTGGAACTCTGGGACCCACTGGGCACCAGCACTGGGGAGTTCAGGGTACTCAGCGTTGTGAATCCTTTCCCCACTCTGTGGTCCCTGAAAGAGCCCCACACGTCTGCTCCAGACGTGTCCATGCACACTCATCCTCACACACACATCGACACACACACACACGGAGGCAATAAATATGTTCCGTACCAAAGTGCCCCAGCCTGACACTCCAGGCGGGGCCCCTCCAAAAGGGAGGTCTTTTAAGTGCTCAATTTCAAGGACGTTGAGGAAGAGTTGGGGAGGGAAAGGGCCAAACTCTACGATCTCAATATGCTGGTTTGAGGCACTTGTGGGGTTTTCCCTGGGAGAGAGTGGGGAAACCTGTTTTTCTATAAGCCCAGGCTGCCCCTATCCAGCTGGAGCCCAGGTAGGGGCTGCTCTTGACCCCACCCCAAACGCCTCCTCATAGTCCTTGGGCCCTCCCAAAGGGAGGGAGAAGCGAGTGCAATGCTCAAAGCTAATACTGATTTGGTTGGCAGCAGCAAGAGGATTGGGGCGTGTCTCACCATCCCAGGGTGATGCTCACATTAACTGGTGTTGTCCTGGCCAAGGGGAGGCAAGAGAGGCCAGCCCAGCAAGGGGGAGATGCTCTCGGTACTCAGAAAAGATGGCCACCACAGCTGGTCCCCAAATCTTCAGTCCCTGGCCTTTGCAACCTGTACCCAAATAATTTAGCACTGGAAGAGAGACATGAAATCTCAGCATCTGCTGGCTGGTCGCTAGGCAACTCCCCAGCAATCAGGAGCTAGGCCTGAAAGACAGGTCTGGTCCCTTTCTATCTTTAGGGCACTGGCTTAGCAACCAGGAGCCTGGCCCGTCCCTTAGTAACCGGGGTCCCGCCCCTCCCGGCTCAGAGGCATACATTGATCTGCTTGGAAAGTTCTCTCTCTAGGTCCAGGATGAGGGCATCAAAGTCTTTGAGGTTCAGGTGCGGGTTGAAGGGCGCTTCGAAGTCATCCTCGAAGTCTGCGGCGCCCGTCGGCTCCCCTGCCTCCTCGTCTTCGCTGTCGCTGCCCGTCACGTGGTCGTAGTCGGGCCCGGAGAGGAAGTCCCGCCCACAGGGCAGAAAGTCCCTCCCGCAAACGCTCCAGTCGCCGGCGTAGCGGTTACTCGGGGGGCTCTCGGGGCCGCCCCGACCGCGGGGCCGAGTCACTACTTCCGGGGCCGCCAGTGGCAAGTGCAGCGGCGGCTGCTGTTTGGGCCGCAAGTCCGGCGCGAGGTCCGTGGCCTCTGGGGATCTGCGGGGATCTGCGGAGGGAGAGGGAGGGCTTGGGAATGACGTCACGTAGCAGCAGCAGCCAGGTCTCCTATTGGCTGTTTGGGTAACCAGCCAGATCGCGATCTCTCTTGATTGGCATGTTAAAAAAGCGGCGCCAAGCCTGGATTGGCTGGATCTGAGCTGGTTGCTGAGGCAACCAGGCACGGGTTTACTCTGATGAGGAGGCGTGGCTTACTTGAAGCACGAGAATCTGATTGGCTGCTAGAGAAAGCACTACGGCCGCAGCATGGCTAGGATTGGCGGCGTGGGCTGGGGGCGGACTCACCTGGCCAGGCCTGCAGCAGGTAGTGCAGAACTTCGATGTGTCGCTTGAAGTCCACGGTGTTGGTGAGGCCCGGGCCAGAGCTGCGGCTGCGGGCCCTGCCGGGGTCCTGGCGCGCTGGCAGCAGCACGGGGCCGAAGCACACAGCCAGGTTCTGCGCGGTCATGCGGTTGTGGGTGTGGAAGGAAGAGACCAGGCGCAGATGGTCCAGGAGGAGCGTCAGTGTGGCCTGAGGAAAGAGGGTTGGGAGGGCATGAGGGGCCTAAAGCGAATGGGAATGGGGAAACTGAGGTTCAAGGTCTCACAGCTGGGAGATGACAGAGCTAAGACTTAACCATCAGGTATTAGTATTATGATCCCATTTTGCTGGAGGGGAGACCAAAGGTCACAGCTTTGGAATGCCAAAGCTTGGACTTGAACCCATTTCTCTATGTGTTAGGCTGGGTTGATATTAATCCCATTTTATAGACGAGGGTATTGAGGCACGAGAGGGTCTGGACTTGTCCAGGATCCTGTAGCCAGGAACTCCCTTGTGCATTTTTTATATATCCTGGCAGTACAACTGTGGGTAACTCACTCAACTGCTTTGGATCTCACTTTGCACTTTTATGAAATGGGGATACCAAAAGCTCCTACTTAATGATGCCACAAGCTCCTGGCCATTACTGGCCCAGGCACAGGTGAAACGTTCTACTAATGTCAGCCCCCTCCTTGTCCTACCCACTCCCACCCATGCCCAACTCACCCTCTCAACATCTGGCAGGCAGCTGAGGAGCCCGCGGGTACCCTCAGCGCTGGGGGGAGCCCTGCTGGGGGGCCCTCGGGCCATGGCTTCCAGCACCACTTGATAGAGGGGCTGGGTGATGAGTGGTGTGGGCAGCTCCCGGAGATAATCCTTGAGGATGCCTGTGGACACAGGGCCCACTCTGGTCAGGGCAACCCTGGCTTCTGGAGGGGTCAGCTGGGGCTGAGAGGAGGGAAGAGGAGGGGGACGGGTGCAGGAAGGTGAAAACAAGGTCATACAGAAGAGGTGAGGTCCCGGAAGGGCCTCAGGGACTGCCATGAGGTGAGGGTTGACTGAGGAGCAGGCAGGGGAGGGGAAGAGGCATGCTGACCAGTGATGACATTGATATCGGGGTACAGGTCTTCAGAGAGGCACACTGCTGCGCTGTCCCGCTCAAAGGCATCCCGAAGCTCTTTCTTCACAGCTGCTGAGCCGCACAGACGGTAGAGCCCCACTACCTAGGTGTGGGAGCAGCGAGGGAATGCCTTTTTGCTGGGGGTACAGATGGATCAGGGCTCGGTGGGGTGGGGTCTGAGTTCTGGGCCAGGGTAGCAGTAGGCTGAGAAGTTGGGGGCTAGCTGTAGCCTCATGGGCTGCCTTCCTGCTCCTCTGACACCTGTCACGGGGTCCCTACCTGGCTGCCTGGCCCATCTGGATCTGTTAACCCTCTGCTTCTATCACTTGTCCCGGTACCCACATCCTTTGGCTCAGGAACCTCTATGACTGCTTTTCAGTTCACTTGTCACCTCCTCTAGGATGTCTTCCCTGACTACCCAGCAGGTGAGGTCCTGCTCTAAGCTTTCCCAGCTTCTTCAGTCTTGTCGCAGCCACAGAGTTGAGATATTTGTACGGTATTATTGGAGTCATGCCTTTCCGTCAGGAGACTCTGAGCTCCAGAAGGGCTGGGATCCGGTGTCACCAATTGGGTGGATGACCCACAGGTTTAGGGCTGAGTGCCATGGTCTAGGGGGACCTTCTGCCCTTGTCTAGGCTGGGGTTGGAGGTAGGAGTAACTCAGGCAGGGTCGGGAAGTCCTTGCCTCAGGATATAGGGCGCCCTGGGGAATGGATCTGGGGTCTGGGGGCTCACCCGCAGCCCTCGGCGCTCGATCTGCCCAACACACTTCTGAATGATGAGGGGCACCTGGCCCGGGGGCTGCTCCCGCTCCACCAGCAGCCGCAGGGGCAGCCCAAAGACGCGGGGCTCAGCTGCGCTGGGTGCTTCCCGCTGCTCCGACAGGGTCAGTTTGGCGTACAGCAGCCCCTGAGGCTCCAGGCGCACGGCCAGCTGCTGGGCCTGGCACCCTGAAGACACAAAGGGACGTGGGTGGGGTCTGCGCTCCCAGACTCCTGCGCCCTGGCCGCCTCCTCCTCCAAGCCACACCCCCACCCTGGGCTTAGTGTCCTGGGCGCCCTGGGAGAAGTGCTGAATCCTGTACCTTGCCGATCCCCCCCCCCCCCCCCCCCCGCAGCCAGGCATCCTACCTCGGAAAACCGTGGGCAGCAGCACGGTGCCCTGGGCACAGGGCCGGTGCCTCCGCACACACGGGTCCCACACCAGCACCAGGGCCCGCAGCAGCCGGGCGGCCTCGAGCTCCAGGTGGAAGGTGTGGTCCAGCCGCAGAAAGTCCGGCCCTCCGCGCAGCGGCCCGGTCCGGGCTCTGGCCACCCCGTCCACCTGGAGCAGGCAGCAGAGGTCTCTCGGGGTGGCCCCGGGCGCGGGCCGCAGCCCCCCCAGCCCGTACAGGTGCAGGCTGAGGCGGCCCCAGAGCGCGGCCGGGGGCGCCCGGGCCGATAGGCCCGCCTCATAGGGCTGGAAGGCGGTGGGCGACGGGGGCCCTGCTGGGCGCTCCGGGGAGTCGCCGTCACTGAGGTACCCGGCCCGCAGGCCCCGGGAGCCCCCGGCCACTGCTGCCCGCCCGGGGGCCCCCACGCTGCTGTCCAGGTGGTAGCGGCTGATGACGGAGCCGGCGGGGGCGGCCCGCTCCCGCTCCCGCTCCCGGCCGGCCCGGGTGCTCCGCAGGCTCAGGCGGCGCCGCAGCTCCGGCAGCTTCTTCATCTTCATGGAGAGACGTCTGGCGGGGCCTGGGGACTTGGTGCGAGAGGCTTTGGCTACGGAGTTGGAAGGGAACAACAGAGTTCAGCAACCTGGGCTTGGCATGGGACTCCCTGTGGTCATCTTGGGGAGCTAGGGTGGGGGTGGGGGTGGGTACCGCTATGCTCACCTTGTGGGGCCACACCCTCTGGCTCAGCTAAGCCCGGCTGTGGCCCTGGGGTCTCGGGTGCTGGGGGCCTGGGGTCTTCCTCGGGGATGGGGTTGTACCAGATCTCGCCTGCAGGCTCCCCACTGCCAGGTGCCCCAGGCCCCAGACAGGCCTCCTCTGGGGGCTTGGCTCCGCCCAGGACCCATCTTCGGCTGCTGGGCTCCAGGCTCTGCAGGTAGGCCCCCCGGGAGGGACTTCGAGATGCCTCAGGGCTGGGGGGCCCCTCCGCTCCAGCCTGGGGCCCCTCGAGGGCCTGGGGCTCTGGCTCCGGAGGGCTGGGCTCCAGGCGCTGGGCTGGGTGGCCTGTTGGAGAGAAAGGGGGTCAGGCCCAGCGCCCCCCCCCCCCCAAAGAACAGCCCCGGCCCAGACTCTTCCCCCAGCAGGGGCTGGGATGTTTGTTTGGGATGGGATTGGCTGCCAGTTTAGAGTCCACCCCGTCTAAGTCCCCGAGGTCCCTAACGTCCCTCCGCCTCTGGCCTCAGGGTCCTCTGGTGGGGCTCTGTGTTCCTGGCTGACTCTCCACCCTCTCATGATCCCTGGCAGGGAGCCTTCCCCTGTCGCTCCTTTCTCACTGGGAGGCTTAGGGAAGTCACTTCCCATCTGGGAGCCCAGTGTGTGTGGTGACACGGGGGTCTGATGCTCTTTCCAGGGGCTTCAGGGAGCTGGGCGTGGGCAGCACTTCTGAGGCCCCCACGTCGTGGTCGGGCACACAGTGGCCTGCTTGCTCGGAGGACAGGAGCATGACCGCAGCACAGGGTTCTCCTTTCCCTTCTCACCCCCAAGTCTGTCTCCCAAATGCTGCCCCTCCCGGGAGTGCGCCCTCTCTCAGCCCAGACAGAACCCCGGTCAGTGCCTCGGCGCCTCCCTTAGCTCCCCTCTCCCCTCCGGCATCCCCGGCTGTTTCCTGTGTGTGTTTGTGCGTGGGCACCAGTCCCATCTCTCTGCTCTGGGAATCTTTGGGAAGGGCTGGCGGGGAGGTCCGATCCCGGAGTCATCTGGTCTCCCTCCTTAACTCCTTCCTTCCTCGGACTTCCTGTCCCAGGCAGCTCCCATTTCTTTTAGGTCTCGGCTTGCTGCCTGCAGACTCCCTCCTCCCCGCACCTCCGACTTCTACCCACTCTCTCCCGGCGCTCTGTTAGGAGCGCAGTCCAAAGAGCCGTTTCAGTCACTTCACTGACCCTGGGCAAATGACCCAACTGCCGCGTGCCTCAGTTTCCCCAGCAGTATCCAGGGGTCAGCTGCCTGGGGCTGCTGAAGGTGGATGCAGCTGCAGTCGCTGCTCAATAATAGGTGGGAGGGGTGAGGGGCGCCTACTAGGATCGAGGCGCCAGGTCCCCCTCCTGCAGAAGTGCGCTCTCCATCTCCTACGTCGAGTCTCCAGGGCTCAGAGTGCCCCTAGTCCTGACTGGGCTCAGTGTCCCAGCTCCCAGCTCCTCAGCGCCTCCACTCTCCCGGCGCACCGCGTCGGCCCATTTCCTGTCAGGGGCGAGGCCCCCTCCCGGGCCTCCCAAGGAGCCCGTGGCGCTGGCATCCTGGGCCGGGCGCACATAACGGTCCGCGCCCCTCTCTCCCCAGCCCGCTCCTCCCAGGACCCCTGCCCGCCCCGATCCCTCTACCCAGCCCGCAGCGCGCTCCGCCGGGCTCCCTTGTCCCCTCAGCAGCCTCTCCTTGGGCCCGGGACCCTCTCCAGGCCGGGCGGTGCTCGGCGCCCCTCCTTCGTCCCCTGTCCCGCTTACCGCGCTCCTTGGCATCCGACTTTTTCCGGGGAAGTTTCTCCCGGCCCCGCAGGCGGGAGAAAGTTTTCCTGAGCAGCGGCTCAGCCATGCTGGGGCCCCGGCCGGGCCGAGTGCGAGCCCTGGGTCCGGCCGCGCCGCCCCCCACCCGCCCGCCCGCCCGCCCGCCCCACCCGGGCAGTCGCGCCCCGCCCGCCTCCCGCCCAGCGCCAGCAGGAAGCGCATTCCGGGAATGCTTGGCCCAAACTTTTTTTTTTTTTCCCCTTCCCGCGGCCCGAGCGAGCGATGCTGGGAGTTGTAGTCGCCCCAGCCGGGAGGGGCGAGAAGGAGGGCTCTGGGCTACCTCCCTGGGCTCCAACTCCGATATCTATCGCGGCCCCAGTCCTCCCTCTTTCCCCCTCTCCTTTGGTGATCGCCAATTCTCTTGGTTTTATCTCCAAAACGCATCCTGCACGTGACCTTGCTACACCCTCATATACTGCTCTAACCTGTTGCAAACTCTTCCTTAGTCTCCTGGATGCCACAGTGCCTCCCTCCTCCTCCTCCTCCACCTAATTCTATCTCCTCCCCAATTCTAGTTCCTACTGCTGTTCAACAAACAATCCCCAAACTCAGTGGCATATGATGCTCACAGACCTGGTGGGTCTGGAGTTGGGGCAGGGCAGAGCTGACACCGATTGCCTCTGCTCTTAGTTGGAAAGATGTTGAGGAGAATCATCTGGAGGCATGTTCACTCACAGGTCTTGCAACTGGTACCAGCCGTGGACTGGGGCACCTACCGGGGCCTCTCACCCCGGGAGGTATGCAGGCTTCTTACACAGCCATCCAGGGCTCCAAAAGTGAACGAGGCCGTCGCTGTATTACCTTTCGCGACCCACCCACTCTCCCGTATCACACTGTGCCATTCTGGCACCAGATGCAAGGGGAAGGGACATAGATGCCGCCTCTCTCAGTGGGTGATGTGTCAAGGTGACCTTGTGCAAGAGGATGTGGGGTGAGAGAAATTAATGGGGTGGTTTTGGAAACTCCCCTCATCCCTACATTCCATTCTCCACACAGCACCCAGAGTGGCCTTAAAAAGCTGAAATCTGATCATGGCACACCCCTGCTGAACAGTCTTCTTGTGATTGCTCACCCCCACCTAGAATAAAATCCAGATCCCCAGGGATAAAATCCAGTTCCGACAAAACTTCTGCCTTCATCTCCTTTGTTGCCCCCAGCACTCACCTCAGCCTCCTCTCTGGGACTCCTTCCCAAACTATCCCTGCCCCAGGCCCTTTGTACATGTAGTTTCCTCTGCCTCAGAAACCTTGGTGGTTCTTTTAAAAAAAATGTATTTTCATTGATTTCAGAGAGGAAGGGAGAGAGAGAGATAGAAACATCAATGATGAGGGAGAATAATTGACCAGCTGCCTCCTACACGCACCCCACTGGGGATCGAGCCCACAACCCGGGCATGTGCCATGACTGGGACTTGAACCATGACCTCCTAGTTCCTAGGTCGATGCTCAGCTGCGGAGCCAAGCTGGCTGGGCAAAACCTTCGCTCTTCTGAAGCTGTATCTTTCGCATCTTTTAGTTTCTATGGTACTTCCTTGGGAGGCCCTCTCTGACAACCTACCACCACCCAGTCACGATTGCATCACTATTTCATTTCTTTGAATACTTGCTTCAGCTTAAGCTTAATAGCACCAGTAGTTCTAGTTTATCTACGTCCACCAGATGCTTGTCTGTCTATTTCACTGCTGAATGTTCAGGTAGGAGATCGGGTGCCAGGTGATGGAGTTTTGGACAAGATGGGTGGCTGGAAGGCCTGGACAGAGAAAGTGTGTTTGCTTATGGTGTCTCAATGTAGATCTATGTGTTTATTCTACTTAGTGACCTTTGAGCTTCTTGGATGTGTAGATTCATATCTTTCATCAATGTTGGGAAGTTTTTGGCCATTATTTCTTCAACTATTCTTTCTGCCCCTTTCTCTTCTCTCTTTCTGGGACACCCATTAAGTAGCTGTTGGTATGTTGATAGTGTCTCACAGGTCTCAGCTCTGTGTATTTTTCTTGGATGTGTGTGTGTTTGGGAGGAGTCAGGCTGGAGAGGAATGGGGTGCACCTCATCAGATCCCTGCCCAGAAGTCTTTGAGGTAGTTGCCGATAGTGGGGAGAGTGGTTGGGGGTAAAGCAACACCTACTTACTAGTCCAACGCAGGTGGTGTAGGACTAGGGTTCCTTTGGGGGTACCTAAGAACCTCAGAGGAGCTGGAGGCCAGTGTGGGGGTGAGAGCAGCCCTTGGCCACACCCATATCACATCAAATAATTAAAAAGCAGCCATATCAATATTTATTATTTTTCTTGGTAAACCTTTTGGGAGGGTTTCTGTACTTTTTCTGTTGCATTTATCTGGCTATGTAGCTCATATTACTCACATTTGTCTCTGATTCTTTTTTCAGCAATAAGGAATTCTTGATAAGTGAGAACAAATGATCTATTATATAAACTGTATAATGAAATCGTTATAAATGCTAAACTTGACACTTTGTGATATTTGTATAATTATTATTTTTAAAAAATATATATTTTATTGATTTTTTACAGAGAGGAAGGGAGAGAGATAGAGAGCTAGAAACGTCGATGAGAGAGAAACATCAACCAGCTGCCTCTTGCACACCCCCTCTGGGGATGCGCCCGCAACCAAGGTACATGCCCTTGACCGGAATCGGATCCGGGAACCTTCAGTCTGCAGACCGACACTCTACCACTGAGCCAAACCGGTTTCAGCTTTGTATTATTATTCATCTGGATTTTGGTAGTGTGTGTGTGTGTGTGTGTTTTCTTTTCCCCAAATGTTCTCACTGGCTGTAGACCTGAGTGCTGTGCTTATGGTAACTGGTGGATAATTCAGCCCCCAATATATACTCGGAACTTGGGAAAGAAGAAATGCAGGTAGAGGGGATGGCCAGGTTTGAGCAGACCTCTACACCCCTGTGGCAGACAATGGGATTTGGTGGATAAGTAAGCCAGCTCCCTCACTCCTCACATGGGATGACTGAGGTGTATGTCCACACTGACCCCCAGAAGTCCCTATGGGATTGAGCTCCAGCTGATATGTAAGTGGAAACTTACATATCAATGTACTCTACCAACTTCATTCCCTTCCCAGTTTCACTTCTCCAGCTCCCTTCCACCATTTCCTGGATCACTTCCCATATAAATTACTTGCACTTGAATCTTTATCTCTAGGTCCCGTTTCCTCATCAGGTCAAGGAGAGAAGACTCAGAAGGAACCAACCTACTGACGCCTTGATGTCTGCAGACTCTCAGACTTCAAAAATGAGAAAATAAACTTCCATTGTTTAAGTCACCCAGTTGGTGTGTTTTGTTATGTTAAGAAAACACCACACACACACACACACTCCAAAATCCAATTAGCAACTATCAAAATCTAGGGACCTGACACAGTGTCCAACCCTCAATGAGAACCCTGGACACCAAGACTCAGGTAAGCTTCTCTGGTTGGCAGTGCATCACACACGTAGTTGCTGGGAAAATTAAGCACTGCCACACAACTCACAGGAAGGACAACTGAAGCTTGTACCTGATCTCTCCTGCATACCATCCCATATACCTTTTATCTTGGCTGATTTTAATCCATATTCTTTCCCGGTAATAAGCTATGACTATAACAACTTTGCTGAGTTCTGTGAGTCCTTTTAGTGTGAAGGTCTTGGGGATTTCCCACTCTGCAGGTTCATAGAAATGGTGGTGGTTCTTAAATCCCTACCATGTATACACTTGGGAGTAAGAGCTCCCCCTCCAGGACCTTGGGTGCCAGTCTTACTGAATCCTTCTTCATGGTTTGCCAGCAGCAGCTCTGTAGCCACTTCCACCAGCTGATCTACCTTTTGCTCCCCAGAGCCCCACAGGGGGCAGGATTTGAGCGTTCCAAGCTGCAGTGTGACTTTAGCCAAGTCACCCACCTGGGAGGCCATCAGTGTCACGATGGAGAGAGGAGAGTTCAGGTGACTGGTGGGTCACTCTAAGCTGGACTGGAATCCCCCTGCTCAAATCCAGCGTGTGGCCTTGTGATAGTCAGTTGCCCTCTCTGAGCTGTAGTGTTTGAATGTCCAAAGTTGCTTTGAATCACCCAACAAAATCCCATATGGAGAGAAAGAAGTATTATTGTATTCTGACAATGGCTAGCATCACTCTGATCCTTCAGATTTAGGTAAAATGGGCTCAATCCCCTTTCAACCCATCACTGAGATATTGGAGAATCTCTAGATAGTTATTTTCTCACAGTTACTGCTGAGTTAAATAGTTCTTTTGTGAGTTTGCTGTTCCTGCTCCTTTCCTTAATGTCACCAAGACGACAAACTTTGCTGAAAGTTGGGGAGTGGGGCAACATAACCGTGGCATCTCTGTTCCAATCCAGCCTACCTCATTCACCTCATCTGGCATCCTACAGTCTTTATCATGCTGCCTCCTATTCATTCTTTCATTCACTCAGCAAATATATTTTGAGTGGATACTCTACTAAGAGTGAGGGTATGGAGCTGGGTAAGGTAAACAGAATATGGTCTCACCCCCCAGTTCTCAATCAAGTGGGGGAAATAGACATTCATCAAAGAATCACACAAATGACCTGGCTGGCTTAGCTCAGTGGTTGAGCATCAACCTATGAACCAGAGGCTATGGTTCGATTCCTGGTCAGGGCACATGCCTAGGTTTGAGGCTTGATCCCCATTGGGGGGTGTGCAGGAGGCAGCAGATCAATGATTCTCTCTCATCACTGATGTTGCTCTCTCTCTCTTCTTCTGTGAAAACAATAAAAATAAAGAATCACACAAATGAATATAAAATCACTGATGTGGTGAGGAGAATGAGAGGATAGTGAGTATATCAGGGCACACGATTACCTGGGGCAGGGAGAGAGAGAGGAGAGACTTCCTTGAGGAAGTGGCGTTTGCATGGTGTTAACTCGGGAAGGATGTGAGGAAGTGGGAGCAGTATATGCAAAGGGCCTGTGGCAACACCTGCAGAAGATCTATTTCTGCAGTATTTTTTACTTTCTTAAAAAAAAAACCTTACTTGGCTC